TAATTGGAGGCTTCCTGCGGCGCCTCTGGTTGCTGAGGACTGTGACAGTGCCACGCTTCTCGAGTGGGCGGGGAAACTCTTTATGGCCACCTCCGGATTTTCTTCTCAGTGGCGGCGCAGGGTCTTCGAATCCGGTGACGGGGGAAAAACGTGGAGAGAGGCCGCCGGGCCGGTCTTGCGCCTGTTGGGCGACGCCTACGCATTGACGACGGTCCACGTTGCTTCCGACCTCATGACTGCAACCATTGCGGGCAGGAGTGTGCTGCTGTACACCACGCTGTCGGAGCATAGTGTTGGGCGCCAAACGCACCACTTCCTCCACCTGTGGCTCTCCGACGGTGCTCGGACCCACGATGTTGGGCCAATATCTACTGCTGCTGAGGCGGGGCACGCCCCCTTCAGCTCGCTGCTGTACACAAGAGATGAGTTGTTTGCCCTCTACGCGAAGAAAGGCCCGGTTGAACGCTCAGACATTCTTGTTCTTGCGCGACTCCCAGAGCAGCTGCAGCGGATCAAGGGCGTGCTGCAAACTTGGAAGGATGTGGACGCCAGAGTCGCAAAGCTTTGCGGCCCCGCCGCCGCCCCCGCTGCTGCCTGCGTCGGTGCGATGCCAACGGACGGGCTGGTTGGGTTTTTGTCGAACAATGGCAACAATACCCACTGGAAGGACGAGTACCTTGGGGTGGGCGCCACGGTGTATAAAGGGGCAAAGAAGGTCGATAATGGCTTTGAGCTGGCGGGGCGTGGTGCATCGATTGTGTGGCCGGCGGGCGGAGGCGAGGAAGGCCCAGGGCACGGTCCTCTGGGCGAAGAGGTGACTCTTGTGGCGACGGTGACCATCAACAAAGCGCCACCGACCGCCACCCCACTGCTGGGCGTGGGGACAACGTTCACTGGGCTATATCTGGGGCTGTGGTACGACGAGCAGAAGCGCTGGAGGACGAAGCTCAGAGCAGAAGCAGGAGGGAGCACACAAACACTGGCGTGGGAGGAGGGGAGGGCATACCGAGTGGTGCTCACGGTGGAAAACGGCGGCGGCTCGGCATACGTCGACGGGCGGCTTGTGGGGAGTTTGGAGGGAAAGCGTCCGGCGGGTTTGGCTGCTTCGCCTGAGATTGCGCTTGAGTCTGACGAACCTCCGCCGGGGCGGGGGCCGCGGGACATGCCACCGGAGAGGGTCTCGCACATCCTCGTTGGGGACTATGGGGACAGAGAAGCAACCTTTGAGGGCCGCGTGGCGGTGACGAACGTCTTGCTGTACAACCGCTGCTTCAACGCCGGTGAGGTTGCCGCTCTGAAAAGGAAGGAGGAGGAAGAGGAGGCCAGCGTGACGGAACCGGGGGAGGCGCCTCGCACCGCCGCATCCGCCGCCAGTGACCCGACGAACTCTGCGCGCGACGAGGCTGCAGCAACTGGCGGCGTGGCCGAGGAGCCGTCAGTGGCGGCCGGCACTGGCCCCGCGACGACCGACGCGGCTGGGAGTTCTGCGTGGGATGCGTCGGTGCCGCGCGGTGCTCCGGCGCCGGACCTCAGCAACGCCTCCGCCGCACTTGCAAAGGAGGCTGCGGGCACAGTGCAGAGGGAGGCTGGGGGCGGCGACGGTACTGTGCGTGGGCGTGTGTCTGCGGCGCTCTCGCTGCTTGTGCTTGCGCTGTGGGCCCTCTCCGCGCTGTGCTGAGCGGCGGTGGTGTCGCAGGGCCGCGGCACACAGAGAGAATGCATGTGCGTCCCCCCCCCCCCAAGTTAATTGCTGATCCGCTGCGGATCGTCTTTGCTTCCTGGTCGTGTGCAAGTTCTCCCGTTGGGTTGAACGCCGGGAGCAGTCATCTTTTCTTTTTCTTTTTTCCTTTTTTCGAATTGCTTTTTTTTTAAATAGCTTCTTGCTTCTCTGCCCCATGCACGTTCCAGTGGGCGGCGCACCCTTTTCCCCCTCCTGTTTGCTGCTGCCGCACACAGACGCGGTGCCGGCCGCAGTGCTGTGCGCCGCACGGATTCGACGCAACTGATGGGTGGAAGCGCAGGCCGAACGCGGCAAGAAATGTGCGAGGGGTGTGTGGGCTCCTGCAACAGGCAGTTGTTTCTTTCTTTTTTTCTTTTGCTTTTATTGGTGCAGGCATCAAATACGCATGCACTCCCACGGTCCTCTTGGGCTGCTGGACACGTGAAGGAACGAAACACCTGCCGAAGTAATTTCCTTTTTTTTCTTCTTGTGGGGGTCGTGCGGGAATTCGTCACTCCTCTTCTCTGCCTTCTCTGCTTCTTTGCTTCTCTGCTGCTGCGGCCTGGGCGATGCGCACCGCTGCCGTGTGGGGTCGCGCCGTTCTTAAATTTCTCTTCCGCCGGTGTGCCAACACGCCCTTCCGCGTTGGTTGTTTCTCTTTTCCTTCGCTCCCCTTCTCCCACGCAGGAGGAAAGGTGAGACCAAACGCAGCTTGCCGCTGTGCGCTTTGGAGGCTCCGAAGCCACATACACACACACACACACACGCAGACACGCAACCGTCGCGGCCTGCGCGGACGCACCG